GATTATTTTTGGTCTATTAATTTTGATCAACATTGTTTTGTAGCAAACTCTCGATTCTTGACACCCTGGGAGGTTCACCACTATCTCTTCGTCTGTAGAATCAGGTGAATCTGACACACACATTCTACAAGAGCTGGTTGGGAAGTTGGAAGTAAGCAATGATTTATTGTGCAGAAGACCCTTCTGATTTTGCAATTACTGCGATCATGCCGGTGAACACTAGACACGCTCAAAGCTGGTTCCACAGAGAACAAAACATTCTAATACAACGACATCAATGCTGTGGGCCCCCACTCACCCGGATAATCTCCCGGAAGAGACTGGTCTGTTTTCTGCAGGGGTTGAGAGAGCCAGGGTTCAGAGGGCGTCCGCTAAAGGGAGGCAGCAATCGGCAGCAGTTAGGAGCGTGGACTCTGGAGTCAGGTACATCTCATCCCAGTCAAAACTCTGCCCTGGATGGACCATCTGACTTTGAAACTGACGGTCCCCGTTGCTCCCCCTCTTCACTCTTGGCCGTGACCCTGGGTGCTCTGGGGTACATACGCAGCGTACGTACGCTGCGAGGTACGTACTTGTGTGGCAGTTGGCTATGAGATCCGGCCCGCTTTTCAGGTTCCCTACAGAATGAGCCACGTGTGGGACACCTGCTGGAAGTCCCAGGGGAGAGACCGAGGGACACATTTATGGGACAGCCTTCAGAACTCGCAACAATAGAGGAGTTACAGATGCCGACTCTGGGCCTCTCCGGTGTCTGTAGAAACCACGTAATACCTTTTCTAATTAAAACCACAAAGCGTAGTGAACCTCTCTGGTTTCCAGAGTAGGGACAGTTACAATGATCACAGTGTCCCAGGGCAGTGTCAGTCGCAGACACTGACAGCTCACTTATTCTGCTGATACACGTGAATCTGCCATCTCAGAACTGGCCTCTCGGGGCCAGGAGGGGTCATCGCTTGGCCCTTCACACGCTGCAAGATTAATCGGCTTATCTGATGGCCAGGCCATCTTCCCCCTGCCACTTCCATTGTCCATCTGCTCACTGGCTCTCGGCTGAGAAGACTGGGGCGCTGCTGAATTCGGAACAGGACCCGGTGGGACAGCAGAGCAAAGCCGCGCCACTTGGGAATTCTGGACGTGGCTCTTAGTAACCACGGCACCAAGAGCCACTGACTTCACCTCTCAGGGCCTGATCCACTTCTGTGAATTCCCATCACCGAGTTCAGCTTCCCTGAAGGTTTGGAAACCAGAGATGAGAACTCGTCTGGAGATGAGAGACACGGGAGCCAGAGGACACCGCCTTCCCGGCCCCTGGGACAGGGTCACTGGCACCTGTTTGGTCCATTTCTTACGTGCCTCTGGGTGCCAGGGGACGGATGCTGGATCAGCGTGACCCATCAGACATCCAGGACAGGACTTGGGCCTGTCTGTCTAGCATCCTCGATGCCTTTTCCCCCCAAAGGTGACTCATTCACCTTAGACACTCACCAGTGACCGCATCTCCCTGCACTTGATTCCTTTGTCCACTGAGTCTTTGGAAACCCTCCTGTGCTCAGCCCGCCCTCCCCGCATCCCTTCTGTAACGATTCCCCTGCCACACCCCCTGTTCCGGGAAAGCCCTCCCTGCCCACCCCATCGCACATTCCTAGCACCCTAAGGTTATCTGGTGTGACCCCGCATTCCACCACAATTACGCATCTGTGTCCCTGTTCCTCCAACTTAGGAACATTTTCCTCCAGGTGGTGGGGGTGTGGGGCGGGGACGGTGCATGTTAATCTCTGGAGCTCATGTGTTTAGCCCACGGGAAACACCGAATGTAGAGTAATTGGGGTCGCGATGATCAATGGACTTGAACTGAAGATGGAAGGGTCAGATGGTAAAGGCAGCCGTTCATCATGCTGTCATGCTTATTATTATTGTTGTTGTTTTCTTATTGGTCAAAGTGGGATGATAATGCGAAACTCACGGGGTCACCAAGAGGAGGAACCGGGGAGCAGAGAATCGCAGGCCCCCGGCAGGTACATCTGGACAGTAGCTGCTGTTAATGTGATTCTGGACCTCGGGGCCCGGTGGAGCTCGCGTTCCTTTTTCAAATCAACATTCAGAATATTGAAACCAATTCAATGTACGCATTCCTCCCAAATGGGATCATGCAAGATAATAGGTAGATATTTCTATACACAAAACCTGCATCTTGCTTCAACGGCCGTGTTTGAAGGACACAAAAAGTTACCCGTTTTTGCTACTTGCCCAATAAAAATCAGGTGGTGTACGTATTCCCTCAAATGTGTGAATAAATGTGGTGGTACAGGCCATCGATATCTGTGGCAGGACGATCGTGGTAATCTAGCAAATTCCAGTTGGAATCCCAAAACTGTGGGAAGGCCCCACAGTTTTGAAGCAGAGGCAAATGAGGGGAGTTGGACCTTGAATCCAGATCCATCTCCATCCAGCCCACGTTGTCGGGGTGTTGGCGAGACCTGCAGAGGGCACTGCAGTGCCTTCACTCAGCATCCATGCATTTGTGCATGCGTACGCTAACTGAACCTCTGTCTGTCGGCTGTCTCAGGTTCAAAGGCGAATTCAGACGTTGGGAACAGAGCACTGGGGCCCAGGGCAGGACTAGATTAGAGATGCAGACTCAAGAGATTTTTCCACGCAGGTCCGAGGGCAGAGCAAGCTCAGCCATCTCTGTTGTCAGTGAGGTAAAATAAAAACCTTCCTGCAAACATGTAATATGTACTTAGTATAAACGGGGCACTCAAGTCAGCACTGTGCCTTACTGTCCCCATGTCCCACGTTAAGACACCGGCACGTGAGATGCTGAGGTGCTGGCTGAGTCACACTGACCGTGAGTGGCCCATCTGAGAGACTCTGGGGTCAGTGTCTTCCCCAGCCAGGTCCCTTGGAGCTCCTCCCCAAGGACTCCCATGAAGTTCAAGTCCATTTGCAGGCTTCCAGGCGGGTCCCTGTTGATGTTTGAGTGGCACAGTCCGTCACCGTGTGGACAGAAGTCAGTTTCCCTGCCTGTGGACATCGTCATCTTGCTGACTCCTCCACAGCAGCCCACCGCCCGTGCCCCTTACAGATGGTGCCCCTGTCTCAGGGCGGGCACTGGCCAGGCGCCCTCGTTCCACTGGGAGCTCCCCCAGGGCCTTGTGCTGTGCTCGCCCTGCTGCATTATTTAGGGGTCCCGTCCCAGGCTGTTGGAGAGGGAGTTTGCTGATGTCCTCTCATGCCGTCCTAACAGGGGCGCCCTGGCCCTTCCTTGCAGCCCCAGACGGCAGCCACAGGGCCATCAAACCTGTCTCTTTCAAAGGGCGGCGCTGGTGAGCGATTTACGGAGAACAAGGTCTGTTTTGCTTTCTTCTTTGCATCGACATCTTCAGCTGCATGGTTTTCCCCGGGTTTCTTTTTAGATCAGCCTTTTGTCTTTGTCTGATCTCAGCAGCCGTACTGAGTAAGCCTTGTGCAGATGCCCCAACATATTCTTTACGTCTCTCTCAAAAGTCCCATAATATTGGTGTTTAGTGTTTAAAGTCAGACCTGATCATAGACATCACAGTTCCTGGGCCTCCTCGATGGGCCCGGGGCACTTTCCGAAGGAGAGAGATACTGTCAGTGAGAAGATGCAGGGTGAGCCCACGGCAGGGCCGGACACCGGAGGCCCAGGGCCCAGAACCACTGGAGCCCACGGCTTTGTTAGTCTGCCGTCTGCTTTTATTTGTGCTTAGTCATAGCCAGCAGATGCCCTGCAGGACTTAGATTAATGCCTCAGCCAAAGCACGCAGACCTCGCCCGCCATCTGCCCCCCACCTCGCACGATTCCCAGAGGCCTGTGCAGCAGGCACACCAAGGAAGGACTGGGTTTAGCGCTTGAACTGGGGAATCTTGTCCACTGCGGGCAGAGCCGAGTGACCTTAGATAAGTCTTTCAGTCTGGGAAATGGGAACAGGAGTTTCTAGCATTTATGACTTGGTCTGCTGAGAAGCACTTCAAGGCATAAGCATCAAAGTGAGGACCAGAGAATGTCCAGCGCATTCACCAACATGTGTGTGTGTGTGTGCTTTCAGGACATACCTGCACGTGTCAAGTGTGTGCGCACCCACCTGCACACAGGCACATGGACATGTCTTAGAAGGGCGTACAAGAGAGCATAGGTTCTGGGGAGCGGGCCCTCTGTACTGCTTTGCCTCGGGAAGATGGGGCATTTACTTATTTCCACTTCACGTGGAAAATTGGAATTGGAGTCTCTGCCGTGGGCGGCGCTCGTGGGCGGTCGGAGGACAGGGAGCGTGGCGGGACGCCCCAGGTGTTCCATCAGCAGCGGAGCCCTCGCTCTGCAGTGCAGGGAGGCAGCCACTCACCCTGCTTCCCCCCAGCTCCGCTGGCTTTTCCACTGCTGGGCTGACCTTTGACCTGCCGCCCCTGGAAGACAAGGCGTGGGGATGGGTGCCTGGGAGCGCAGGCGTCCGGCTGTGGACTTTGTGCTTATGAGACGGAGAAGACTTTTGCTTGCAGACCTTGTGGGATGTGTCTCTTAAGTTCAAACCGGAAGGGACCTCGGAACGCAGAGCCAGGCTTCACACGAGGCCCCGTGTGTTTGAGGTCAGAGCCTCTCCCCTAGAAAGCTCTCCTGGCACAGACGGCGTCACCTCAGCTCCTTCCCCATTTCCAACGATGCATCTCCTCTGAGGAGCCCACCTCTGTCTGTCCCCTCTCCTCACAGGGACAAGGGAGAGAGGCCTGTAAGTGGGTGCCATTCTGCTGTCACAGCCCTGGGAGGTCAGTGCTGCCATCAACCTCTGTTGTCATTCTCACTGTGACCATCATTATTGTCATGGCTGTTGTTACTGTCATGCAAACACACCGAGATAGAGGCGCGGCAGAATGCAGGGCTGTTTCCGCACACGGGGGCAGGGGAGAGACCCCGACCCTCCTCCCACTTTTCTCGGACCAGGCCGCGTGCGATGACTCTCCGCTCTGGTCTCTGTCGCCCACAGGGGAGCTTCTACGCGCCCTCGGACAGCTGCGTGCAGCGCGCACACAGGTGGCACCGGGCACTGTGCCTGCTGCTGCTCCACGCCCACCGCGGGCTTCGCGCCTACTTCCTGAGCGTCATGAGGGACGTCCCTGAGCTGCCACATGCAGAGCTGGGTAAGGCCTGGGCCCAGGGGACGCCCGTCCTGCGGGCCCCTGCCTGCTATGACGGCACAAGCCAAGCTGGCGCGCTCCTGTAAACCTGAGTAAGAAGCCCCGTTTCAGGTCGGTGTCACGGGACCCCAGGTGTTTCCGGCAGGAGAGACCCTCAGATGTGCAGGTGCAGGGAGAAAAGACACAAGCAACTCAAAGAGCATTTACTCCTTCCTTCATTCATTCATTCACCCATCCATCCATCCACCAAGTATTTACTGAACACCTACTAGAGCCCTGGCATCTATGGGAACATAATGTGAAGCTGCTTCCTAAGGAAAAATGCTAGTTTATAGCCTTATCTTAACTAGGCAGTGGTTACAGCATTGCAGCTTGCAGAAATGCATACGTATGTACCTTCTAATCCAGATGATTGTGGAGACCTCTTCATGGCCCTCACTCGCAGTTGGTTCTCTGGGCATGCATTGCTTCTTGCCCATCAGGCATTTTGGAGACTCTTGGATCTGAGTCTTCTAGATTGATAGATGGTGGAGCAGAGCTCAGAGAGGTAAAATGACTGCTCAGGGCCACACAGCGATGAGTGGCAGAAGCCCAGCAGGAGTGTGGAGAGCCTGCCGTGACTCTGGGGTAGGGTCTTTAAGGTGTCATGCTCATGTACAGCAGGTGAAATGTTGAGGTTTTGTGCGAAGTCCTCAAATGAGGTCCCTTTGTCCCTAGACCAGGTCCTGAGCCTGGTATTCAAGGTCAACAACAGAAATTGTCTGGGGCCCTCAGCTTTTCTCCCTGTGCCCTAGACCTTGCCTGCTGAGACGACAGCCCTGGAAGTGTTGTGTGTACATTGTCTGTGATTTGGCAGAACACATCACGTAACAGTGATTCACTTGGACGTTTCTCTTCCCCACTGGACTAGGGCATGTTTGAGGGCAGAGCCCCCCTAAGATTCCTCCTCCACAAGGCCCAGGGAAGGGGTGGATGCAGCCTGCGGATGCAGTGAGTTCCAGCACTGTCTTACCAATGAGCTTTATCAGCACTAGCCCTGCAGGCCAGGCAGCTGCCGCTCTCAGTCATGCGGCCTCGGAGCTGGTGTTTTTGCACATTCAAATGCCGTGTACAGAGGGAAGCTGGGCGCGGGGCCAGAGCAGTTCAAGTGGCTCAGGGGGAAGTCAGGATCGTTCAGCAGCTATTGACTTACGCTTTCATTTCTTTCTATCCAAAGGAACTGAGTTTTGGGGGGTTAGGGGGAATCCATGAAGCCACCACCAGTTTTTATTGAGCACCTACTATGTGCAAGACATTGTGCGTGACTCCAAAGACACAGCTGTGATTAGTGTGACAACAGGCCATCATGCTGAGGGGCGGGGTGGTCACAGACTGTGGACAGCCCCCAGGTGGGTGGGTGGGTGCACCACAGGCCCCCACTGAGGACTCCTCTCGGTCTCCTGGGCGGCGGGGCTTTTATTAGAGCCCACGCCACAGCCGAGTGCCATGGAGCTAGGGGAGAGTTCGAACGCAGGGGAAACTGAGAGTCACATCACACAGGGCCCCGGCCCCGGGATCCTGCCGAGGAGACGGCGGGATCTCAGGTCCTCTCCTGTGGCTCGGATGGCTGTGACGGTCAGGAGCGTCCGAGTCTGCAGAGCTGGACCGTGGCTGGTCTCTGCCACTCCAGTCACTCATCTGTCTGTACGGTGGAGATGCAAACCCCTGTCCCACAGGGTCACGCTCATGTGAGTGTGAGTGTGTGTGCACACATGCACAGGTACTTGCAAAGGCACAAAAGGACATGACGTCACTTGGCACCAACAGTCTGTGGTGACCTCAGGGAGTGTGGAGTCGCAGCGTTCCACGTCTGCTCACCCACGTAACGGGCGTGACCCCCGAGTCCTGTTTCTGTGGCTTCAATGCCCACGTGACATGATGCCTCTCCCATGCGGTTAGCAGCGGTTGCGTTTCAGGGCCTGTGATTTCACCGCGTGTTGTCCTTTCTTCTCCTAGAGTCCCTTGCTGTTGAAGAGACGCTGTCCCAGCTGTGCTCAGAGCTACAGGTAACCGCAGGACTGACCCCTCGGGTCTGAGCGGCTGTCGTTATGCAGGGGAAAACGTGGCTGCTTGCTTGACAAGGAAATGGAGACAGAAGACAGGCCCCCTCTAGGCTGAAACACACACTAACATCCCGTTCCCGGAAGTCACTGCACGTCTGTTAGACACCGTTGTGTGCCTAGCTCTGTGCTGCGTACTTTGGACGAAGTCACAGAGTTAACAGGTCTGTGTGGTGGAGCCCAGGCCACGCCTCCCCGTCCACAACCCATCCCTGTTGCAAGCTCTGGTTGGCTGCCAACTACGTGCCTCTCCCAGAGGGTGATAGGGACCCTGCACCTGCGCCCAGAGGACCTCAGACCCAGCAGGGGGCAAGCTCCCGCCAGGCAATGATGCAGACAGTAGTGAGCATTTGCCAAAACTTCATCAAGGACGTATTAGGAACGTGTGCTTAGTAAGTACTGGGCAGGTGCACGTCTCTAGTGACAATCTCTTGAGCACCTTCCTGTCCCCTCCTGTCCACTGTGAGGCCATGATGAGGGTGGCACTCTTACATGTAGAGAGACAGGCACATCACCCCACTGGGGTGCACAGGCCATTGGGGTCACAGGTGTGGACACAGGTACCTGCACGGCCCGGGATCTCAGGAGGACGTGTTATGAAGTGTGAGGAGGCAGAAGCCAGTGGACCCCAGAGAGGAGGCTGAGTGGGAGCCGAGCCCGGAGGCGCAGAGGGAGCCCTGCCTCTTGGAGGAGGCTGTGCAGGCCCCAGAGGCTGGAGGCAGGGGGCGTGGGTGCAGGGCTGTGCTTGGGGACCCACGAGCAGGGCTCCAGGTGGGGGAGGCAGTGTGCTGACTGAGGCCCCCGTGGGGCCTGAGCTACCCAGGAGGGGGCCTGTGTGCCGTGCACAGGGCAGAACCGGGGCTCCTGGTCACAGGGAGCCGTGAAGAAGGAAAGTGACAGGTGCTGGGGTCTGGAGAGGGGGAGGCGGGGGCATCTTTAGGTGGGAAACAGCAGGTGACCACATTTACATGGAGATAACCCCAACGCCAGCTTCCCATCCTCACCCTGGGTGCTGCCCCCCACCTGCCCTGCCCCTCACCTGCCCTGCTGCAGGACGCTGCCCCCACAGCGGCCCCGCCAGGGGGTAGGGTTAGTCCCCACTCACTTCCCACAAGTGCATGCAAAAGACTGTGGCCCCCTGAGAGTCCCTGAGCCACTCGGCTGTGGGCCTGGGGCCTGAACCCAAGGCTGTGCGGGGGTCCCGGTCATATGGTTGTATCTGATCTCTGCAGCGGTTCAGGTGAGAACCCAGCCGATGAGTCTACCAGACGCATCTCATGAGGGACCGGCCCACGGCTGGCTTTCCTCTCGGTGCCAGGCCCCAGGGTTGTAGCTGGTGACAGGGAGGGAAAGGGACATGCGGGTGGTTTGCTACAGGGCTAGCCTGGTGATTGGAGTGGAAAAAACAGCCCCCCACACACACAACACCCCTAAAAGTTGTGTGCACAGCCCTGAGAATTTTAGAGGCACAATATCGCCACCTAGTGGCCACATGCAGTCTTGAATGCATCCTTCTCCCGTGGATGGGGTCGGAGTTGGACACTGACTGGTTTGGTGACTTGAGATAATTTGCAAACACGGAGCTCTACAGTAATGCAGCAATGCATCTGTGTCTTTACTCCATGTGAATCTTCTAAACATTTAGTACGCATCCACTCTGTGCCTTTTGCTGGGAATAGACAGATAGAAGAGACCTTCCCAGGACTAGAAGTCTCCTGGCAAATGGCTGGTTCACACGTCAGGCAGAAGCTGCCAGAAAGGGTCGGGGCTTGGCCAGGGGGATGTGAGGGGAACTGCATGCTTGTTGAATAAATGGCGAGGCCTAAGAGTCAGGGTCAGGCCTGTCAGCTGGCTCCCTGGCCTCTTCGGAGACTTGACTCTGTCGCACCTCTCCTGAATTAAAGTTACTCTTCTTCCCTTGAAGAAGCAGGGGGTTGGTGGGTTGGCTCCTGTCGGTATCGGGGAAGTGACCTGCGGTCCCCCAGGGGGAATCTGGAGGAATGGGAGAGGTGGCTGCTGGGGCCGTTGAGCGCCCACCACGGAAAATCACCTAACTGGCTTGGGGCTGGGAGGCTCTACAACCTTATGGTTCCCCCAGAGACGTTGTGGCCACACCTATCATGTGGGGGCAGTGAGGCCCTGCGGTAGATGGTCCTGCACGTGAACTTCCTGTGTTCCACTGGCCGAACAGCCAATGTTGATGGGTGGAAGCTGTGGCGATCAGAGTGCAGAGTTCGGGGTGCAAGGGGGCAGAGAGGCACGCCCAGAGATGGGAGAGAGAGAGCCGTTAGAGCAGGGCAGGCGGCAGCGCCATCAGGAGGAGCCCCCAGCGGTGCCCTGGGGGCGCCCTCCACCCCCTCCTTTTCGCCTCCCCAGACGTTGAACAACCCGGAGAAGATTGCCGAGCAGATAAGTAAGGACCTTGCCTGGCTCACCTCCCACCTGATGGCCCTGTGGACCCAGTTCCTCGACGCGGTGACCCTGCACGACCACGTGACCACTCACCTTGCACAGGAACATCACACCCTGAGGGTAAGGTATCACACGGTGTGCGTCCCACTCCAGTGGCCCTTGGACAAAACTTCACAACAATGGGCAGAACAAGAACTGGGGTGGACCCTCGGGCCTGAGGGTCGGTCCTGGTTGCCCTGTGACCTGGCCCTGAGGTGGCTGTAGCCTGGCGTAGCCCCTCAGACCTTGGGCCCACCATTCATAAAAGACCTCCCTTGGCCACCAGATGGTGACAGAGTCCACGCCACGGGGCATTCCAAGTGCTCTGAAGGTGTTTTGAAAAGTACCGTATTTTGCTGTGTATAACACACACCCATGTTTTTGTGCGCATTATACCCAGGGTCATTGTTATACCCACGGTATGTAATCATTATACCCAAGTGTAATGCGCGTCCTTCTTTTAACTTCAAAAATTTGGGCAAAAAAATGTGCAAAATACGCGGAATTTTGAAATGTAAGACATCCCTCTTGGTGCATTTCTTGGCTCCCAGCTTGGCAAGTCCTGAGACATAATAAAAGTTGGCAAAAGGACCAAACACTTGAGTCCACAAAGTGTGTCGGGGACAGGTGTGCATGGCTGGCTTCCCAAATCCTGTTTCATCCACATTTCTTTATGGTCCCTGCTTTCCAGTGTCTTATATTCTAGTAGAAGAAATAAAACCTAAATATATAAATGACAGAAAGCAGTGTCAGAGCAGACTCATGAGCATGCATGAAACTGTGCCCGTAAAGCAGGCTCGAGCAAGAGCCATAGACGCTGCCCCTACCCCCCGGGAAGGAAGAGACAGGCTATTGTTCCCGACCTGTGTGTGTGTGTGTGGGGGGGCGGCTCAGCTCCTTCTGTTAGTGCCTCCTGGGGCCTCACCCTCCTAATGACAATCGAGGTGATGCCCACACAGCACCTGGTGAATGAAACTCTACACACCTTTCTTCCTCAGGTCCGAAGGTTCTCCGAGGCCTTCTTTTATATGGAGCACCAGAAACCTGCTGCCCTGACGTTTCAGGAAAATCTGTAAGTAGCCTTTCCCTCACGTCACACCCTAAGGTGGGCGCCCGAGACGTTGTTGCTCCCAGTGGCTGCTGCCCTTCACCTCCGACGGCGCAGGAGAGCCGCCTCCAGCCTCTGCCCCTTGGCTGCGTTCTCGCTGCAGGCAGAGGACTCAGGCAAGTGGCCGAGGCGGGAGCTGGCAGGTGGCAGCGGCCAACGGCCGAGTTCTCTTTCATCGAGTGTTTGCGGAGCTGCAGACAGAAGCCAGTCTTCCCGGGCCCTGAAGACATCGGTGCCCAGTCCTCTTTGCAAAATGAATTAGAAGCAGGTGGTGTGGCTACAAACTATGTCAGAAAACAACAACAGCACAGATTTTGCAGGGACTGTGCATGGCTATGAAGTGCGTTCAGCCTAAGATTCAAGACTGAACTGCCTCATTCAGGGGCTGATGGATTTGTAAGTTCTCCTTCCTGCAAAATCAAAGGAGAAATGACAACGTACTCAGAAAGGTCAGAGGGTTGACGAAAGGTGACATCCTCCTCGCTCAGATTGTAAGGGTGGCAGGAGCAGTGGTCTCTCTGTGACGTGTTGGCCTTTGCCACACAAGTCCCCGGGTTCCCCTTTGTTTCTGAATGACAGGTGCCCCTTGAGAACTACACGTGGCCGGAGTGAAGTTTGCGAGGGCGCAGCGGGCCCCGAGGGAGAAACACTGTAGACGCTCCCCACCCATCACGCGGGCCAGACCCTCATCTCACCCTCGTCTCTCTCCCCCGATCCCCGCCTCCCGTCCCCCAGCTCTTCACCGAGTCTGGGAAGCACACTGACATTCGTGGTTTGCCTCGTGGGTTGTGGACGCGAGAGGGGCAGCAGGATAAAAACCCGCCTGCGAGTTAAAAGAGCTTCTTCAGAAATATGGAGACTCTCACTTGGTCATTTACTCTTGCGCTCAGTCCAGCCCCAGCCAGAACTGCCTGGGTATATCTTCTAAAACCGAAGTGGGGGGGGCGGCAAGAGAAATGCTGGGCGTCAGGGAGTCTGCTTCCCGAGTTCCCGGGCCACAGGGGCCTCCGCCGGCCGGGCCGCGGTCACGTTCCCAAGCAGTGCGTGCCCGTGAGGGAGCGCCGGGGCTCCGGGCAGCTCCTCCCGGGAGAGTTGTGTTGACGGGCCGCCCGTTCATACGATGGACAGATGATGAAGCAGCAGCCGGCCTGGGTTCCAAACCCGTCCCTCCTTTTCCCTCCAGAGGGTCCTCGAGAGAGTTATTTCAATGTCACCATTGCTTTTCTCTCTCTTTTTTGTTTTTTTTTCCCTAAACCTCCCCTAATCTTATTTTCCTTGAGATGGGCTGGATAGTAATTGTGAGGACCGTATGAGGACACCCCTCATGTGGAGCCCACAGTGGCGGTCACAGGGAGGTTAGGCAGGGACCAGTGAGTGACACAGTTGTTTGTCGCACTCAGGGGCACCGCGGATGCGGCAGGGAGCGAAGGGAAGACACCGTGCCCATGGTTTGCTGGTTTGGAAGGAGAGATGGGCAGGCTGTGGATTGTAGCGGCGAGGAGGGGAGAGGCCGCTGTCCTCAGAGATTCTCGGTGACCACCCGGCCCTGAGAGGACCGAGTGCGGTCAGCTCTGGCCGGTGGCGTCGGCCGCATCCCATGGCAGGGCTGCTCCCTCCGCGGTCAGTCTCAATCAGCACCGAACACAGACCTGGGGAGAGGTGTGGGCAGTGGTCTCCTGCAAGCCAGGGTGAACCGGCTCTGCCCTGCCCCGGGGGAGGCGGGAGGCCTGTGTTAGCCAGAGTGACCAGAGAGAGCCCTGTTATCACAAGCCCTGCCTGACCGTGATGAAGACTGTGTCGGCGGAGGGGGTCATGGGGGCAGTTCCACGTGGGGACACAGAATGTTTTACGAGTGGCAGGAAGGAGAAGGGAGCGGGCGGGCCAGGCAGGTTGGTAGGGGCCTGCCCACAAGGGGCCCCGATGACCGGGGTAAAGACTGTGTACTTTGTACTGCGACCACTGTGATTAATGCCTTCCTTTTAGTGTCCAGTGGGTGTGGCAGGAAGACCTTGAATTTCAACTCCCATACATGCGGTTTGAAATCCTGGTTCTGTAACTTGTAATGCTTGGGACATCAGACTCATCCCTGAGCCTCTCTGAATGTGTCACTTAGATGTGACAGGGAGATCCCTTCATGCTACAAACATCTGTTTACTGCTGACCATGACCCAGATCTTGTTCGGGGTGCTGGGTGCCCGGGGGGGAGCAACACGCATCTCCTGTCTCAAGGACGTTACATGCCAGCAGTGGAAGTAAGTGCAGAAGAATGAGAGGCCAAGTGTGACAAGCACTGGAGGGAGATGCACATAACGTGGAAGAGAGAAATTTACAATTATTCTGTTAATAGTAGACATTGACCTACAGCCTAAAGCATGGGCTAGGACGGACACTGCAGCATTCAGGGGAAACAAACTTTCAGTGAGGCCGTTCAGAGTGAGAACTCTGCAAGAGGGCGGGGCATTTCATTTCAGACTGAGAGGTTGCCCCCGTGAAAGGCGCAAAGTGCTGTGAACAGCATCAGATTGTGAATGGGGGGAGCGTCAGGCTCCATTCTCTGCTGGCGACTGTGCGGGCCTGAGGTCAGGGCTGGAGGGTGGTGGGGCTGCCGCAGGGAGGCCGCCCGTGGCATCCAAGGCGAAAGCCAGCCTGTAACCTGCGGGTGGACCAGTAGAAAGACAGGGTGGCCCAGCGGGGAGTCACCCGTCCAGACCCATCTTGTTCAAGTTCCGACTGGACCGAGTTTCTCAGACAGGAGCTTGCAGTCACTTAGTAGGCCTGCAGGTCAACCGAGTGGGTTTGGAAGAGCCCCCCTTAAACGTAGACAGATGGGGGGTGGGCAGCACCAGGCCGCACAGTGCAGGGGGCGGGGGCGGACGCGGAGTAGGACTCAGCGTGTGTCCCTGGGCATTTGCGCGGCCGTGCTGAGATGCCACACAGCAGGGAGACTGGTTCCTGCCGTGGGTTGCGGTATTTAGAAAGTGTTCAGAAATGATGTAGCACTTGCCAGTAGCAAGGGTGTCTCTCACTGTCCCTCCCTGCGTTCCCCCTGTGTGGCCAGTGCCATCCACGCGGTACAGGTGTTCAGTTGGGAGTTTGCTGGGGGACGAATGTGGACCTTTGCTCTGTGTACTGGCCTGTTCTGGTGATTTAATTGGCACCGTGCAACTTCTAAGCCTCATTCACTCAACGAGATGCTCTGTAGACGGGGCTGAAAACCACTGCCCACCTCCCCGAAGCTTAGTCTGTCACCTCGACTCTGGCAGAGGCTGTGCCGTGTGCTTTGCATACACTGGCTCATTGAGTGTCCATTTGCCCCTGGAGGTAGGAACTGTTACTGTTCCCACTTTGCCAAAAAAAGAAACCTGGGTGGCCCAGAGGGGCTCGGGAATTAATCTGAGACCACACGGTGAGCCAGCGGCCTGACCCTGGGTTTGTGGGAATCCGTATCCCACCACCAGGGCCTATGTGCCCTGACTCCTGTGTGTGGCATTGAGCCACTATCCTAAAGAACGCACCCCCAAAATAAAACGTGGATTCTTCGGCCTCTAGACTAGCAGGACCTGTATGCTGTTGGGCTGTAACTGGAATGGGGGGACCCCGACGTTGAAAGTAGCAGGCAGCACACCGGGCTCCGTGGGCTCCACACAGCTGCTCTCGGAGCTTCCCCGTCTTGCTTCATCGATACTCTGTGCCTGGAGATTGGAAGCTCCCCACCTGCCGACCCCGGACCCCGACCACCAGCACCCCACTCTGCAATTCTTTGAATTGGGCTGGTTTAGCCTCCTCAGAGAAGCGGAATCTCGTGCTGTTTGTCCTGTGACTGGGTGATGCCCTGAGAGTTCACCCACGGGGTCCCCTCTCGCGGAACGTCCCTCTCTCAAAGGCTGAACAACAGTGCCTTGCTCCACACTTCCTCTCTTCATCCACCTGTCCGTGGGCACTTGGCTCTGTGTTTGGCTGCTGTGAATATGCTGCTCTGCACCCGGGGTGCTGCTCTCTCTGTAGACCCTGGTTCCGGTTCTTTTGGACACACGCCCAGGAGTGGAGCCTCTGGGGAGCCTGGTAGTTCCACTTCTAAATGGTCGAGGAGCTTCTGCACCGTTACCTGCAGGGGGCGCACCATTTCTCGTTCCCACAAGGGTTCCAACTTCACCACCCCCAGCCAACACTTGGGTTTTGTTGTTCTAATAACAGTCACCTAATAGGTGTGAGGTCATTAGGTGGATACGCCCCTGGAATTTTGAGTCATTTTGTAAACACATCCTTTGCACAGTTTAGTATGTCCTGGGTCGTGTTTTCACAAGGCCCTGCGGTCGGGGGCCACCTTCCAGCAGGAGATGGCTCCCTCAGGACATAGACTGACTCTCGAGCCCTTCCCGCTGCGTTAGAATCACTTGGTTAATTACCTGAGCACACGTGTGAGCCTGCTTGCACGTCCTGAGCATGTCGCTGTTCTCAGCGTGTTGCTCTGAGCACGTTGAATGCTCAGAGAAAGGGTCCAAGGGTTAGGAAGTTGCAGCAGACTTCCAGGCCTTGAGGAAGGGAGTATCTTCTTTATTCCCTTTCACAGGTTAAGCTCCAACTGGGAAATAAGAAATACAACGTGCACAGTTCAATGTGTATTAAGTGTAAGTGTACAAGATATCACGTACGCACACATGCTCATCTTCATTGGTTCGGAGAATGCTGAAGGAGAGATGGGGCTCGGGGCTTGTGCAGAGTCCTGCAGCCCCAGCTATTCTGCAGGGGCTGGTGGTTGCCACAGCCAGGGATTGAGGGGGGGGCTCCCAAATGCCACAGACAGACAGACAGACAGACAGACATGAGCTGTGCATGCTCAGTTCTTCTCCTGAACTCACAGCCCAGTAACAGTCTCTTCTTCCTCTGTGAGATGACGGGTTGGCATAGAGAAAACCGTGGAATGCTCACGTGTCTCCTTCCGGAAGGGGAGGTGGAAGTAAACTCTTTCCCTTCTGCAGGGAGTAGAGGCGAAGGGAATGAGTGTTTTCTACCAGCCCAGCCTTTGAATGAGGAATTCTGATCATTTCAAATTCTGGAACCAGAGTCCTGCGGGAGGAGGGTTATTTGAGTCCTGGGGAGAGAAGATGGGGCATTTTTAGAACCCTGCGTGGGGAGAATTAAAAAGCATGGTCCCTAAACTAAGAGAAATTACACCCCAGTGGAGGGTGCCGGTGTCCGTGCAGTGAGCAAGAAGGCCACTGTCAATGGTTCTTAACTCGGGTGCCACCAGTGTGCATGGGACCCTGGGTGCTGACGGTGCAGAGAAGTGGGGGTATAAATGGGGAGCTTTCTGTTGTTCCTCCAGAAGGTGAGATTCCTGGGTGCTGGGAGATTTGGCCCCTGTGCCACTGGAATGGCATTTGTCCCGCTCCACTGAATGGAACGTGATAGAGCCTGTGTTTTGTCAACGGTACCGTCCATGGCCTGTGGCCTGTGGCCCCTCTCTCAGTGCCCAGGCCAGCTCCACCACGAAGCAGACCTGGGCTCGGGGGTGGGGTGGGGCAGAGGCCAGGAAGGGTGGGCAGACAAATGGACAATTATTAGCGTCTGCTGGACATTTTCTGGAAGTTCCCTGGGATCAGGCGCATGGATAGGGCGGTGGGTTCACCGCATTGAGCTCTTCCCCAGACGCTCACCTGGCCGTGTGTTCCCCAGGGTCCAGTCCCACAGCCAGCTGTCCCTGGACGTCCGGAGCTCAGAGTACCTCACCGCCATGCCCCCGCTGCCCGCCGAGTGCCTGGACATCGACGGCGACTGGAGCACCCTGCCCGTCATCTTCGAGGACAGATACGTGGACTGCCCTGTGGCAGGTATGTCTTCCTTGTTCCGGAAGGACTCAGGGGCGGGGCTTACGGGGGTGGTGCTGGCAGTTGCTCTGTTCACGTCCCAAGGGCAGCGGGAATGAAGAAGCTCCTTCTTTGTTCATAGAGGAGATGCCAAAACTAAGGCTAAGGGGTTATTGGGAAGGTCTATTTTGCAGTGAAATTCACAAGCCCGTGTAACAAGGGACAATCATAGTAAAGATCCCCTTGTCCACTCCTGGGGAGGGATGGTACCAAGTGCCTAAATGTTTTCACCTGCAAAACAACCAAATCCTCCCTGTGGCCAGGGCGCCATGAGTATCAGAGGGAGATCCTCTCTTACGTCGACGTGCAGTTGAGTGGTAATGTCGTTTCTAGTTCAGCGGTAATGGCAGTCCTCCACTAACTCATCTCAGGGAGGACAGATAGCACGTCTGTGTGCGTTTGCTCACACGTGGTGTGCTTTGCTGGTGTTGCACAGTTTTTAAATGAGCCCACAGGCCACCTTGGCAGAGCCTGGTGCAAGCCAGACAGGCAGTGAGGGCCCGTCCCTGTCCCCTCAGGGGAACCAGCAGCTGGACCACGCCCACGGCCCCTTCGAGGGTCAGAAAATGCCACGCCCTCTGCGGGAGGTGTTACATGTTTTAGCGTTTTGATCCTGCAAGCCCATTTCACGGAGAGAAACTGAGGTGCAAAGCGTATGGGTGTGCCTTACAGAGCAGGCGGCACATCATCAAAACTGACACTCAGCCAAGTTCACCCTGATTCTAAGGCCCACAACGCCTGCCTCACCGCTGCGGTGAGGACTTCTACCCACGGGGCTCAGGTGCCCACACACATCTCAGGGTGTCCGCAAGCCAAGATTGGCAGGGTGTTTAAAAGTCCCGGGGACTTCCAAGGACTTCTGAGGAGAGTGCTGCCTTACAGAAGAAGGATGCTCTTCGCTGTCAGTTGTGCCCTGACACCTGGTGTCCACACAGGGTATGACACCCAAATCGTGGCTGTAGCGATGGCAGCCAACCGGGCTGGGGAAGAAAGCTGGCCTTAGCATTGAGACTGTGTGCGTGTGTGCGTGTGCGTCTATATGTTCCTCTTCCTTAGAGCTTAATAATTTAACCACAGAAAGTTTGAGGAGTTAGACAAGAAACTGAAAAGAAGCCAGCCCTTGCTCCCAGACCCTCTAATGTTACCATTACGAGGCTCGGGTGCAGCTGCTTTCTAGTCTTCTTTGCTACCTGTGTTCACGGGCACCCTGGTGGATGTGCGCCTTACACCCTCAGCTGCTGTGAGAGTCACAGCGCCCAGCTTTGCTTTTACAAACTTGCTGCACTTCCGCAGAGCCCCGCCCCCCAGTATTAGCTGGAGAGTCAACCTGGGCGTGCAGGGGGCTTCCCCGCCCCCCCACCCCACCCCAGGTCAGCACCCTGCAGGCCCACATCTGCCCCAGCAGGTTCTCCGAGCATTGCCCAGATTCACTTAGTGTTTTAGGGCTGGCCTCCCTTTGCAGCTTCTGTAATGTGCTTGGGACGTGGGACTTGGCTGAGACCCGGCCCCCAGCACTGACCGGCCAAGTGCCCCAAGGCCATCGCACCCAGAGGCCTGGCTCTCTCCCAGCACCTTTCACCTGACCCACCCCCACCCCTAAAAAGACTTGTACAGACTAATCCACGTCCCCATTCAAAGCCTGACGCTTCCCTTGGCCTCCCACTTTTTTACAATGTGCTTGGATGGTTCTGCCGTCCCAGAGCAAAAGTGTCAGCAAATCAAGAGCTGTCTTCCATTTCGTCTAGGGCCTGGAAGCCACCTTAATATTTGTAACTGGAAATGGTGTTACCATATCTGCAGTCCATCCCTTAGTGGAGTGAAAAGGGAACTAGAACTTGCATTTGCACGTTGGAGTGGTCACGCTCGTGGTCTGCCACCATACCTCGGCTATAATGCCTACTGTGCGCTAGGCATTCACCCGCTGTGTGCTAGGCACTCGCAAGTTCTGGGTCCTTTACCTGTGGTCCTTCCTCCCACGCACGCTCACTGCCCTGTCCCAACGCAACTGAGCCATTTGCTGGGGGCCTGCACGGTGGGCCAGGCTGCCTGGATTTGCCGCTTGTTCCAACCACTGGTGACTGTGGAACTGGGCCACAGGGTGGCAGCTTCTGTCTACAGGACCCCCACCAGCCCTGGGGAGTCCATCCACAGAACACTTAAGACTGACCGGCACAAAGGAAGTTCTGAATGGACGTCCAAGGGTAGCATTAGTTAGTAGTGAAACTGGACTGTCACTCTGCCTTGGCTGTTGGAGTGGCAGTAATGAATGATACAAGGACAGGACACATTCGTGCAGGGTGTTCAAGTTCATCCAGATCGCAGGCTTTCTCCACCATCTAACCGGTCCCCCTGTTTCCCCTGGTCACTCCTGCTCCCTCCATGTGGGGGTTAGCCGATGCTTGGCCGGACCAGGCACTGCAGACTCCTGGGCCTTTGCCCACATCATCCCCCCTCCTACTAGGACTCCTCACGCCCTTCTCGGTCAGAAGCAGGTTAATTCCTATTCTCCAGGTACGGCCCACATTCTTTCGACAGGACAGCCAAGTCCATGGTTCCTGCATGTGTTTCTCAATGTCTAAGTCTGTGAAAGACAGAGACCATTTGCTGTTATCAGTAACCCCTGCTTCCCCTCTCTCCAACTTGTGGTCTAGTGCAGGGCTCTGCCAGTGGGGTGTGCTAGGGGACCATTCGTGGGGCTACATGAAATTGAACTGGCATTTTTTTAAACCAGTGCAAACAGTCAACGACACTCATTGGCTTTGTTTTGCTGGCATTCACTTCTCAGTTCATTTTATGAGCACAGTTCGTCAGCCACGTGCCAGCCTCGGGGATCGAGGTAGTCCTAAAGGACAAACCCGGCTCTCCCACGGGATCCAGAAATGCCCCGTGGATTGCAGTGTGGTGGTGGGCGTGTTACACTCCGTGTGTGCACAGGGGGTTCGGGGATTTGCAGCGGAGGGTGTCTAGGTTGCTGTGGCACGTGGGGCATTCCCCCGAGGGGGGAACATCGGCTTAGCCTCTCACGATGCAGACGGCGTGTCCGGGTAAGGAAGCTGATCCTGCCCCAATCTTGAACTTCACTTACAGGTATGAGGCGATGATGTTTCAAAGTCCCATGCCGTTTTTACATTCAGTGTCTCCATGGTTTACTTCTGGTTAACATTTGATAGTGATTATAATCCTTTCACTTTTATTAAAACCATTCGGAGGAGCCTTAAACTATAGTACATGGCTTTATTATTTTTTTTGTAGGGCAAAATTTGAATGTTTACCCTCGTTTCGATGTTCCAGCAACCAGTCCTGCAGAAACGTGTCTAAGAGACCCAGAAGAGAACCGTTTGGAGAACAGAAAATCACCTCTCCAGCAGCGCCCCATCTCGCCCAGCCTGAAACCACCGCTCTCAGACTCGGACGAAGAAGAGGTGACTAGCTGCGCGGAGTCAGACAAGAACGTGCCCACACCCAGCCGTGCGGACGTCTGCTCTGAGTCTCAGGTGTACCTGACCATCGGCGAGTTCCAGCAAGAGGCAGGTCCGCCCGAAGATGCAGGCGGGACCAGCCCCGGGTCTGACGTTGGAACGCATTCACTGGCCGATGGCAGCTGGCCCGGAAGGAGCCCCAGCCCAGAGGATGGCCCAGACTACATGGATGTGAAGTCCAGCGTCATGCCCCCCGGAAGAGCTGAACCCACAGTGGTCGTTTTGAGTGATCAGTGTGGGCATGAGCACTTGCAAGATAACTGTGAGTCGGACAGCGAAGGGGCAGCAGGTGGAAGTGGCCCGCACGCCACCTCTTCAGGGAAGACAGTGCCCCAGGAGCTCAGGACTCTGGGAAAGGGAGCCGCCCAAGACGGTAAGATGGTGCCACCCAGTGGGAAGCTCTTCCCCGGTGAGCCTTGCGATCTGCTGGACTCAGCTTGGAGGGTGTCCCCGAAGGACCCTGCCCCGGAGGAGCAGGAGGACGTGTCAGTGTTCTCCGTGGCCAGCAAGAGGTCCTCCTCCGTCATCTCGGATTCCGGCATTGAGAGCGAGCCCAGCTCCGTGGCCTGGTCGGAGGCCCGCAGCAGGGCTCTGGAGCTGCCCGGTGACCGGGAGAGCTTGCACCGGCTGGCGCGGAGACACGCCCTGCACAGGGACTCCTTGGAGGGCGGACGCACTGAGAGCAACGTGAGTCTGCCAAGCGGGATCCAGGCATCCCTCACCTCCATCAGCTCTTTGCCTTTCGAGGAGGAGGAGCGGGAGGTGGCACTCACCAAGTTGACCAAGTCCGTGTCGGCACCCCAAATCAGCAGCCCCGAGGAGTCTGCCGAAGACATGGACACCGTGCCGCAAGGAGGGCGTCTCCCTGAAACTCCGGCCGGGCACATCGAGAGCGCAGAGCCCCCGGGTCCCTGCAGTGAACCCCATGCTGGGTCCCGAATCCAGGACACTGGGGGGAGCTGTCCTCCCATGGAGGTGGGTTCAGATGAGGGCAACCAGCAGGGCCCTGGTTCCGGAGATGTCCCAGAAGGTGAAGAGATTGGCTCGGATTCTCAAGGACCCTGTTTTCCTGATGGCAGAACTGAGACTCTGCCAGGGATTGAAACCAAAGATCTTAATTTTCAAATACCACGTATCCTAGCCCTTGAAGGCCCTGGGGACGGGTCTTCTTCTGGGGCACAAGTGGAGAGCCCAGAGGGCAGGTCTGCACAAGGGCACCTGGGGGCGAGCGCTCCACTGGACAGCGGCAGCTCGGGCGTGGAGTGCCTCACGGAGGGCGGGGTCTCTGACCTGAGTTGTGCACCAGCGGCCGAGGCCAGCAGCCTGGGCTCAACTGGGGAGCCAAGCAGCTCACCCGGCAGTGCGGAGGCTGCGGTGCCCCTGGAGGCGGGCCATCGGGCAGAGGTGGTGTGCTCCGCCCTGGCTCACTCCGCTCAGTCCCAGGCTGCGGGTCCCCAGGAGCCCCGGGCTGGCTCTTCCACCTCGGGGCCCCACCTGGCCCCTGCAGAGACCTTCTCCGTGGACAGCCTGAAAGCCGTGGAGGTCGTCAACCTGTCTGTGTCGTGCACGGCCACATGTCTCCCGTTCTCCTCTGTGCCCAAGGAGACCCCTGCCAGGGCCGGGTTCTCATCCAAACAGACCCCGTTGCCCATCACGCACCAGCCGTCAGGTTCCTTCGGGGTCGTTTCTGCCCCGTCCAGCCAGCTGGAGGAAGAGGTCGGCGAGAGGATGTTCAGGTGAGCTTCCTGGCCCAGCACCCACAATCACGCGTGTCCGCATGCTCCTCAGTTCCGTACATCCCATTCCAAAACCGAAATCGCCATGTCCTCATTGAAACACAACAATGCATCAGCATCGTACAAGTCAGCCGTGCAGAGTAGCACGAGAGGTAGAAAGTATCAGTAAGCCCACTTCTCACGTACAGCTGCTATGTGAGTTCTTCCACCCTTTTTTCTCTCTGGATCTATATCTATACCTTCTTTTTATGCAAAAGTTGGATAATTCTGTACAAACTAAGTTTTTTCGGTCTACTGGAAACACCTTTCCACGTTTAGCCATCTATTTTTGCATTACCATTTTCTGTTTAAATGATGTTCCACTGCATAGATGTGCCAGGATTTATTAACAAAACAGTTTAGAGATGGGCACCTAAGTCTCTTTTTTGGTTTTTATTAGGATAAACAACTCTCTAGCAGTGTCATGCACCCCATGTTTGCGAATTCCGAAGGGACAGTTCTTTCGGGGCCTTTGGGAGGAGCGGGGCTTCGTCAGATTTGCCTCGTCGGCCCTTTTGTGTGGTTCTTTAAGTTGTCCTTCATTTTGTGATGTCCACATCCACCCCTCACTCTTGTGTTGGGTTTGTAGCCCTACGGCTACCTCGTCTGCAAACTCTGTGTTTGGTTAAGCACATCCCAGAGTCATCTTACCGAAGCATCCCATCGTGTCCACTGTCTTGCCAAGTGCTGACGAGGTCACGATAGCTCCGAAAGAAATGGCCCAGGCACGTCCACCTTGGACCGCTGTTCCATACAGATTACCAAATACCCACACGCCCCCGCCGTCAGCGTAACAAACAGCTGGCAGGCAGCTCCCAGTCTAGCTCCTAGTCTCCGGCCAGCGCTGCCCTGGTGGTTACTGCGCCCGTGAGTGAGGGGAAGTAGGTAAAGGGGATGATTTATGGGTGCACAGCTGAGCCAGGGTGGGGAGAGGGACCCCATCAGGCTGGGGACAGTGAGTGTGAATAGAGACCTGGTAGCTGGTTTCAAATATGTTCTAAGCATAATTTTGCATAGATTATATCACTCACTCCACAAAACGCCTGTATTGAGTAGGCGATGAGGTCATTCCCCCTTTACAAATGGAGAGAAGTGGGAGGCAGAGGGGTTAAGCGGCTGGCCCACCACTGGCCGTGTCAAAGCTGAGGTTCTGACCTTGGCACTGTGACCCCCGAGTCTGCGCTGCTAACCACCACCTTGTCAGAGAGGCAGGCCTCCGAGACAGGCAGACCCGGACGCAGGAGGGCATGGAAATGAGGCCGCACCATCCGTGCAGGGCATTGTGAGAAATGCGCTCTTTTCAGAGGCTGGGAGACGACCCTGGGGAAGCAGGTGGTAGCCAAGCCATGGTGGCCTTGGCCAAGGCCAAGAAGCTTTCACTCTGGGGAGGTCTCTGTGAAGATTGTGTGGGCCCTGGGGGCTGGAGAGAACCTCACCTGGCCCGCTCAGTGCGGAGCCACCGAGAAATCTGCAGAACCCAGACCAGGGGAGCCCTCGGTTTTCCCGGGGCGCTGTCCTGTCTCCCTGCTAAGAGCAAAGCGTCCCTCCCTGCTGTCTCCCCGGAGGTCACATCCCTGGCCTCGGTCCCCAGGCAGGTACTTCCTCTAGATGCCCATCACTCCTACACCCCAGCTCATCTCCTGTTCAGTGCGCAGTGCACAGCGTGGCGTGTGATTAACTAGTGTATTCTCCAGTTTCTATCAGGCCAAAGAGAAATTTAAAAAAGAACTGAAGATTGATGGATTTCTGTACAGTGACTTGTCAGTACTAGCTTCTGACATACCGTATTTCCCACCAGAGGAAGAGGAGGAAAATTTGGAGGACGGGATTCACCTGGTGGTCTGTGTCCACGGCCTGGACGGTGAGTTCCTGAATGGTTTCCCCCACGCAATTCTGCACTATAAACACAAATTCATTTGGATCGGGTACTCCTTCAACAAGGGGTCTGTTAGCAACGGCGGGTGGCAGGAAGTATGCTGGGTACAGGGAAGTGGCCTTGCCCCCGGAGGAAAGGTGTGTCTGGCACACGCACCTGTCCTGAAGGTGACTGGGTGAATGGGAGGAAGGAAGGAGTGTCATGAATGAACGGGTGAGTGGAATGCACTCAGGGAGAGCCGGGTCCGACTTGTTTTAGTTACGTTGGCTGCCGAACAGAAAATGGCAAATGCGGGAAAGGGAGGGGAAGGAGGGAGAAATCTCCGGGACGCCCGCTCTGATGGGGTCTGACGTGGGCGGGTTCATTGTCGTCTCAGGGAACAGCGCAGACCTCCGGCTGGTCAGGACCTTCATCGAGCTGGGGCTCCCCGGGGGCAAGCTGGACTTCCTCATGTCGGAGAAGAACCAGGTACAAGGGCTGCGGCCTCAGGTGGCGAGGCTCCCAGGGCCACCCCTGACACAGGCCCCCCCCCCCCGAGGTCACCAGGGCAGCTTGTGCACACGGAGATAGCAGGGGACCTGGCCCCAAGCATGGGCCTTTCTTCGTCCACGGACACGAGAAATGGACCGGTCGGCCTTATTCCTCTAGTGTCTTAAGGCTCAGGGATGGCAGGCGACGGGGAGCTGTGTAGGTCTTCTCGTCACTACCCCCCCGTCCCCTCCCTGGGGTACTCAGGAGGCCTCCTGACCCCAGTGCACAGCTCCAGGCAGCCTGTGACGTCACAGGGCAGCTTTACCTGTGAGAAACTGTCTATACCTTGACCCCAAGTCTCCCCCCCACCGGTCCCTGTCCATACTTCCAAAAGTCAGTCCCTGGAGTTACATGAACCCTTCCAGAATGTCTGCCCTTTCTGATCCTCAGACGTGTGTGACCTTTCTCCTTGGCCTGTCATGCTCTCGTGTCCTCCGACCATCCTTCCTGAGATGCAGATGGCCTGGGGATCCTTGTCACAGTGGACGTCTGTCCCCCGGACAGGGCCTGGTGCTGTGTCCAAAGGCTGAGCTGGGGAGGGGTAGGGGCTTGGGGGGTAGGCGGGCCTGGGTGTGGGTTCTGACTCAGGACACTGTCCCCTCTGAGAGCAGAGTCCTTCCTCTGTGACATGGGGACAGCTGTGCCAGGGGATGGCTCCCATGCCACTCTCCATCTCTTTCGTCTCCCCCTCCTCACCGAGGGCTCTGCGGTGTCCCCGGGGTCCTTCATTAGGGTCCCAGGCTGTGACCTCCAGTCTGTGGCCCAGCATCCGGCTGCAGCACACTCCCAGCATGCACCGCAGTGTTCCGTGGAGGAAGACGATTCGTGGGAGAACCTGGCCTCATTGCCACCCTGCCCGACCCCGTCTCCTTTTCCTCCTTCCAGATGGACACGTTCGCAGATTTTGACACCATGACGGACCGGCTGCTGGACGAGATCGTCCAGCACATCCAGCTGTACAGCCTCTCCATATCCCGGATCAGGTAGGGGCCCCGGGCAGCGGGGTGTGTTGAGCGTTTGCTGTATACGAGCGAGAGCAGCGTGATGCCACCTGGACACATGGACTGGGGACTCTTCACGGTGCAGAGGACTGCCCAGAGGGGAGGTGACACACCCGTAACTATCTCAGCCTGTATGCAGGAGAAGGAACGTTGAAGGCTCAGGAGAGAGAGACTGGGACTCAGTTGGACGCTCCTAGGTGTGAATTTTTGTTCTTCTGACGCCCACGAGCCTGAGTCCCGGCTGTAACCCCGTCAAGCCTTTCAGTCTCGGAGGCTGTTTCCATGCAGTGGGACCGGCGCACTGAGAGGGTGCGTCCCAGAGCTGAGTCCGTTCCCTGCCCACGCAGAGGGCTTCCAGGGGTATGGACGGCGGCCTCCTACAGAGGCAGGTGACTTAGTTGACATGTGTACGTGACAAGCCTGATAGGAACCAGCTTGTACTTGCAAGGTGCGTGGGCGCGGTGGAGAGTCGCTAGATGTGTGCCAGTGCATGGAGACCTCGGGGATGAAACGTCACTTCCTCCTTGTCCCACACGTGAGGACACAGAGGCCCCCAGAGATGCGATGACACGCATGGGACATAGGACAGGGTTTCCACAGCAGTGACTTAGTTTGAAAGGAACACAGTGCAGGATCCCCAGACCGGTGAGGACCGCCGCACTGGAGTGGGCTCGGAGGAGGGGGGTCGCCGGTGAGGACGGAGAGCGGGCAGGGGGACGAGGTTGTCGGGAAGTGAGAGATGAATGAAACACATGGCGACGTGGTCCCAGGTTGGGTCACGAGTGGCCTCAAGCGCAGCTGGCACTGCAGCCCGTGTGTGACCAGGACAGTTGGACGCTCAGCCAAGGCCCCCAGGTGGACTGAGAGGAGATGGGGAGAGCAGCTGGGGAAGGGGGCTGCTCCCACGGCGCGAAGCTGGGCAGCTGCCCACCCGTCTTTCCGACCACACCCGGCACAGCAGCTGCCACTCGTGGAGACCCCCCGTCTTGACCTTGACGCGGCCAGAGTTTGGGAACCTGACGGGGGTGCATCAGTGGCCCCAATCTCGTGGCCATGGCCCCTAAACCTGGCAGGAGGTAGCTGGCGCCACCCCTGCGCTTTCAGGGCCGGCCTCCCAGGCAGCAGGGCTGCTGTAGGTCACGGTCACCGCTTCTGTCTCTACGCAGCTTCATCGGCCATTCTCTCGGCAACATCATCATCCGTTCGGTCCTCACCAGGCCGCGCTTCCGGTGTTACCTCAGCAAACTGCACACGTTCCTGTCCCTGTCGGGTCCCCACCTGGGCACCCTGTACAACAACAGCACCCTGGTGAGCACAGGTGAGGGCCTGGTGTTCGTCGCCGTCCCTTCGGGGACGAGGGAAGTGAAACCAGAGGCGGGGGCTCCTCTCCGTGGAATCCTGTGACTTCGGAACGTCCTCCGAGCGTGGGCAGTGGGAAGAGACCTGGGTGGGGCGAGACGAGGTGTCCAGCTTCCTCCCTTGCTGCCAGCTTTCCGGGAGCAGAAAGGGGGTGCCCACTGTCTCTCTCAATATGTTAACGAAAAGTCACAGTTCAGCGTCGCTCTTTCCCCGTTTATTCCTGCCTGGCTTCACACGTTTGGTTTCGGCTGGGTTCTGGTCCCCAGGCCTGTGGCTGATGCAGAAGCTGAAGAAATCCGGGTCCCTCCTGCAGCTGACCTTCAGGGACAATGCTGACCTGCGCAAGTGCTTCCTGTACCGGCTCAGCCAGAAGACAGGTGCGTGGCTTCCCCTGTGTGGTGTGTCCTGAGTGGGAGCCGGGGCTCCCCTGTGACCCCAGCTGGCATCAGCGCTACTCGGACTCACTAGCAGTGGAGCCTGATCGGGAGGCACAGCCTCTCCCTCGCAGGAGGCCCCCCGAGAACTCAGCCCCCCCGTTGCCAGTCTCCCCGATGGCATGGGAGAGGCATCCCAGACGGGCGCCAGGGTGTGTGTGGGGGGCTCTCTCTACAGGGGGGCTGTGGCCTCCCTTTCTCAGCAGTCCTTTTACCTCCTGGTCACTCAGGCCCCAGGCCTGGGGGCCAGCTCACAGCCCCTTCACCCAGGGGCAGACCCGCCCACCCCAGGGCAGACAAGCACTCTCCTTCATGCTGACAGGGCAAGGAGACAAGTCCTTCCCAGGCAGGCTGGAGGGCACGCCACCCTGCCCCCACCCCTCTGTCTGCAGAGGGAGGGCTCAGAGCTGCAGGAGCCCCACTGTCCTGCCTCTGAGCAGACAGCAGCCAGGGGCGAGGCCTCCGGAGTGTTCCTGGCCCACAAAAACCTTGTTGTCCCGACACCTTGCTCCTGTCCTGTGCAAAGTAGCTTGCTCCCTGTCACCTTAGTGTCCCTGCCCGATGGGCACAACCACACATCCTCCTTCTACGACACAAAAACTCCCCTGCAGCAAATTCTTTTCTCAGCCTCTCGGACCGGAAGGTCCTGCTGCAGGGACACACCTGTGTGTCAGGTGTCTGCTCTCACAGGTCTGTCCAGTGCATGCAAACCGGGGGGCGGGGCACGTGGAAGCTCCCTGGGTTCAGGGCACCCACCTGGCTCGTTGCAGGTCTGCAGTATTTTAAAAACGTCGTGCTGGTGGCTTCCCCCCAAGACCGCTATGTGCCGTTTCACTCAGCCAGGATTGAGATGTGCAAAACGGCCTTCAAGGACAGGCACACGGGTAAGCTGCGTTTCATTATGGCGATTTAAAAGGCTGACGCCTGTTCACGCACTGGACTCTGCCTAGCCGGGCACGTCTGATGTCCTGCGCAGGGACAGGAGCCCGGCGCGCACCCGGGGCTCCTTGTTCCTGCTTCGTCTGCCGAGTTTGGCCTCCTCCACTTCTCTGCTCGCTTCCCCCCTGCAGGGCCCGTTTACGCGGAGATGATCAACAACCTCCTGCGCCCTCTGGTGGAAGCCAAGGGCTGCACGCTGGTCCGCCACAACGTGCTCCACGCCCTGCCCAGCACCGCCAACGCGCTCATCGGCCGCGCGGCGCACATCGCCGTGCTGGACTCCGAGCTCTTCCTGGAGAAGTTCTTCTTGGTGGTGGGACTCAACTACTTTAAGTAATGGCCTCACGGAGCTCGCGGGAACCACCGAAGACCCAGGAGAGCATCGGCCAAGTCACCCTTTCGTAGATCTCAGCCATTCCAGCGTGGAGCTCAGAGCAGAGGGGGCTGAGGGAGGCAGGGGGCGGGGACAGGCTATCCCGGGTCCCTCCGTTCCAGAGACTTGCAAAGGCCGAGCTCACGGTGTTAATTAAAGGCAACGGACTTTATCCGAACAGACTTTAGCCCCCTGGAGTTTCATCCAAGATGGTTTCTAGGGAAAATATGAGAAAACAAACAGTGCTCAGAGTTGGGGACCGCACCTCTGTAAGTGCCAGTGGCCCGCAGGGAGAGCGTGCCCCGTAACTAGGTGTGCCCAGGATGTTACTAGTGCATAGCTTTATCATTTTTGACTCAAGGACGTGCACTCAAGCATCTCAGAACTCAGGTTAACCTCTGTGCAGAGTGGACATACTTGTGTAAATAGAATCCTTAACGGACTCAATGTGCCGCTTGTTCAAGAAAATGGGATGCCACGCTGTCATTCCCTCCTCACGCTTTCTCAGCAAGGGGCGAAGGAATGCTTTCTGAACTCCAAGTTCATGGTATCCGCAGCAGTGGGCGGCTGATTGGCGGTGTGGGAGGGACGGGGGTGATGCTGCAAAGGAAACTGGCTGGGACATGGCGAACCAGGCGCCTTCCCTACTTCTCCAGACGTTCTCTATGCATAGCCCCGGTCCATAAATTATTTTTGTGATTGCTTACATCTCTGTCTATAGTAGGGAGAAATGACTTTGACTTGAGCTAGCAGAGGGGGCACCGAGGTTAACGCACAGGTGTGCCTGGCTCCTGCTGGTGTACTTCCAAAGAGATGCTAGGTTAGCATTTGATGCGATTGCAAAAAAAAATGAACACCATTAACGTGCCAGCTGTTCCTCCTGTCTGTGGAAGGACAAAACATCTAAATGGAGGCGCCGCGCTGGACTCTCAACCTCAGGGGAGCTCTGAGAAGGGTGCTGGGTCTCTTTCAATAGAAATGTCTTCATGCCTTAGGGAAATAAAGGGCTAGGGAAGGTCACCATTGATTTCGACAAAAGAAAAAAACACCCAAGAGAGCAGGGATGAAAGTGAGGTCAGAGAGGACGGTAGCACTTAGGTGGAGGCCAAAACCTAAATCGTTCAGTGACTGCAGGCGGACTTTTGAGACTTAGCAGGTGTTTAATGTGGTCCCAAAGACTGAGGACACTCCGTGGGGCTGAAGGAAGCCCAGAGAGTTGTGCTGGGGGACACACGGACCTGGACGGTAGGGACCGGCCCAGGAGACTCCTCTTCCAGAGTTGTGACAGCAGGTGGGAGACGTGGACAATGTCATCATCCCAGGCCCCTTTTCCCACTTGTGCAGAATTGCCTCATAAAGTGTGGACACACATCTGGGACCAGATTTCCGGTCCCAGCACCTGGACCATAACCTTGGGTAACCCACGGTCATGATCGTAAAACCATGGCTCATCTGAGAACCGGCTCCTCACTTGCTCACAGTGTGGCTTTGGGAAAATGGACGCAGTTGCTGGGAGATGCGCCCTGAGGAGCCAGCGTGCGGGAGGCCAGACCAGGGATTCCTCGAGAAAAGACAGAGGCAGTGGGATCTCCTGTTCTGCTAAGGCAGACAGGCTTCTCTGTGGGTCTGCTTCCACCTCTCCTGGCGTCCTGGTCCTCGCACGGTGGGGCCAGCATGTCCTTGGGTCACTCTCCCACCGGCTGCGTTTCCAAGTTCCCGATAGACGTAGACTCTGTTACCTGTGCCAACCCACGGTCTAGTCCAGGAGGGACTTGGTGCCTGCCCAGCAGCCCCGGGCGTGGTGCGTCCCGGCCGTACGCTCACTGCAGGACCCTACCTTTGTGGCGACTGCCCCCTTTCCGGCCCAGCGAGGGGCCCTGGCCCTCAGACGGGTGCTTCCCATTGTCTCTGTCCACCTCCTGCCAGCCACGCGTGTCGCTCCCTGGTCGTTAGAAAGACTGCGGAGCCGGTGGTGCTGCAGCCAGGGCGAATGTGACCGCCGTTGTCTTTGCCAAACGCCAGATACCATTTTTAACTTCAATATGCTGTCTGGACATAGTGAGAACTCATGGCAATAAACGTCCAGCTGCACGGTGCACCTCTTTTTTCTAGGGGTGCTCTGCTGTCTCTGTAAACACTCTCCGGCCCCTGAGCATCTGTTGTAACTGTGCAGAATGTCCGTCTCTGTATCGTACACAAGTGTCAAGTGTTACGTGTCATGCCTCACCTCAGAAGGGTTTTCTATGTCTCTTTCTATTGAAGTATAGATATCTAATATATATATATACATATAATATATATATAATGTAAAACAGGGACATTCTATTATTGATGATAAAAACTATAAACAAAATGCCTGCCAAGATAACTGTCTAATACGTCTTCATTCTCAGCATCAGTTTTGTTTTTCGTTTTCACAATCTGTCATGTTTCTCAGAACCACTTAGAGATAACAATTGCTAATATAGAGACTAATTGGGGCACAGGAGATGCCTAGTGGCAGGTTGAAAGCAGTGGGAGAGCTTCAGCCCTGGGGGGAAGGCGGAGGGACTCCCTCCTTTCGAGTTCCACACCCCAGGGTCTTCGCGTGAGTCCCCATGGGTCTCCTTCGTGTGACTGCGTCTCCTGGAGCGCAGGGGCCTGTCTAATTTATCAGCGCCTAGTTTATCGCTGCCCAGGCTCGGCCGGCGTTCGCTGAGGGCGGTCAGTTCCTTGAAAGCTCAGTTTCTTCTCTAGCCCCTCAGCCAATCCATCCACAGCAGCTGATGCTTTTGCGGAAGGGCCTTGACTCTGGCTCACGTTGACCCCCTAGGCTTCTGAGTTTGCAAGAGGAGAGTAGTTTCCAGGGGCAGGTGGCCCAGCGGCAGGTCTCTGTGAGGGGCAGAGCCTCTCTAAACGCAGGGGCTTGCTTTCGAGCCTGTGGGCTTGGCTCCGGTGTCCTGGTCTGTACAATTGAATTGAAAGTATCTTCTTCGAAAGGTCACTGAGGCCAGGGAATGAGATGGGGAGGCAGAGTGCCTGGGACAGTGCCTGCAGAGAGGGGGCATTCCAAAATTGTACGGGGTTCCAAAGGAATGTCTTATAATGAGAGGTTTGCTATAAGAACTTTTCTTTGTAGGAAGTTAAAACTTGACGTGACCTCAAAGTGCTTCATCCATGACGGCCCGGAGGCAGGTCGCCTTCCTGAAACTTTAGGCTTGAGCTTCCAGGACTCAGAACACTTCGTTGTGATTCCAGGATCCTCCACCCTGGAGTCATCCAGCTCATTTCCGTGTGTGACTGGATGATCGCTGTAACACCACCATTTCCCTGCTCATCACGTAGAGTAAGCCATTGTTAAGTTGAGAGCGGAGGGATGGCCAAAGCCGGACGCCCAGCGAGAACAATATTACGTCTGATTTAAGGTGTTTGGGAGTTTGAGTTCTGCAGATGCCCCTCAGCCACTGCAACAAACCGAAATGGCTTTTACAACCTGGGCGGAAAAAGGCTCGATTATTGTGTTTGACAAAATACCGAGCTTCCCTAATTTCTTGCTCTGTGGAAGGCGAATAATCATTCAGGTATGTCCAGTGACCTGTGCAGGCGTCTTTGCTAGTTTTGTGTTATTCCCCTGAAGGAGAGCACTTCATTCTGTCCCACACACCGTGTGGGGCAGAAGCAGGGCCATGTCTTCTCTGTAGGGAACTTAATAAGAAGGTCTGTCATTTTTGCCCTCACGATTTCCCTATAACTTATCCTTGAAGGCACATCTTGAAACTAAACGCCCGGTTTTGTGCAAAGCACCGGCGGCTACAGAAACTAGTTAGGTGGGACCCTGCCCTTCAAGAATTCAGAATCTAGGGGGAGCAGAGGCCCCTAAAACTGGGAGACTGTCCAGATAGCTAGGATAATGGGGCAGGAGGGCAGGTGGGAGACACTGAGGACCCTTCTAACCAGCCACCCTCCTGGTGTTGGGCTCGGGCATCCCACTGGGGTGTGGACACAGGAACCTGCCCGGAGAAATGCCACATTGCTAACAGCCCTGCCAGTCGGGTAGGACGTCGAAGTTTCTTCGGGGCCACCATCCTGGGTCAGGTCAAATGAGGGAGTTTGCAGAAGGAGCAGCGGAGTGGAGCACAGTGCAGCCCGGTCTGCCAGGAGCCCCTGCCCCTGAACACGTCACCAGCGGTCTGCAGTACAGTCCTCGGACGCTCTGTGGCTGCTCTTTCTCCCTCCTTTCAGACCGATAGACAGAAGCGGGTTATCAAACGCCACGCCTGTCCCCACACTTTGTCACACTCAGGCTAGACCCGGGAGTGGGGCTGTGGCTCGTGTGCACTGGTCATACGCTGCAGGGCCGCGGGTTATTTCGTTTTGCTACTTTAGGTTTAGGGGAGCTTACTTTAGTTTCCAATGCGACCTGCCGCACTGTAGGAAGTGCAGTGGGGCAGGGCCTCCGGCATGGCCCCTCTCTCCGGAGAAGAACCTGAATGCATAGCTCGATGCCACTGTGAACCCCTAACGCGCCTCATTCTGCCCACCGCACCCTACGCAAGGACTACGGCCTCCCACGCGCTCTCGTAAACCGTCTGCAGCCCAGTGGCGGCTGTGATGACCACGTCATTCGTGTCAACAGAACCCTCCTATTTTTCTACCTTGGCTCTTTGGTTGGCATTTTGTGTTGTTCATGTATATATGAACGACAAGCAGCAACAATATTAATAAAAACTCTTCTGACTTTCTCTCCCCAGGAGTCTTGTTTATGGAACGCACAGTAAATGCTGTTGCGGAATGTGGGCGGGGCTGAAGGAATTGCGCCTGCTTTTGCTCAGAGGGCTCCTGGAGTGTGGGGGTTATTCCGGGGGTGCCCACTGTGGGAAAGGCCTAGCGTATCTTGGGGGGCCAAGCAGAGCAGAGAGGGAACTCAAACTGGACTCTAGGAGGGTCAGGGAAATTCATGTGCCCTGGCACGTGTAGGACTTAAATAAAAATGTGTTGAACGAACGAATGAATGAATGAGTTTGGCTCACAGAAGACCCAACACATTCCTAAGCTAGCAGCCTTTCTGCTCCAGCAGGCTTTCTGCCTGGGGCGTCTTTAACAGCTCTGCCCAAGGACAGGG